AATCACAGAAAAAGCCAGGAAGTGGCACTGTGGCTCAAGTGGTAGAATGCCAGCAGTGGGCTAAAGGAGCCTCAGGCACAGCTCCGAAGGAGGGAGGGGTGAGGGGGGACAAAAAACAAAAACGTGTGTGTGTGTGTGTGTGTGTATGTAGATGTGTGTGTGTGTGTGTGTGTGTGTGTGTGTGTGTGTATAAAATAAATGAATTGTTATAAACATGGCAGAATATACTCAGTGAAATATTATTCAGCCATGTCACATGCTGGCTTCTTATCTTCTTATAGATCCAGTCTCAGCCTAAAGATTTGATCCAGCTAAAGATTTTAAGAAGGACAAGATATATTTGAAGAGAAGACTTACAATAAATAGACAGTGTAACTGACATCTCATTTTTCAGTGAGATTTTTCCTAGTCATTATAATTTTATAATCTCCCTTTCTACTTTGTTTTTTGCTCTGTAACCTGGAACTTCAAAATTTTGAAGCATTTGCCTGTTTGCCTCACATCAGATTAGAACTCACTGATACTAAGGAAACAACTGGGAGTTAATACTTTCAAAGTAGTCACTTCTGTGTCTACTCAGTCCAGTAGAGTCCCATTGCCCACAATGTTTTGAGGATGACCTCTATAAGAACTACTTTCAGCAATAAAATATATGAGAATAGCAGTCTTATGCCTTCAGAAGTGTTTTTTTTTTTAAGGATAAAAATCACCTAGTAGGGAGCCTATTAGGAAGTTTTCTGGGTTTTAACTCAAGTCTTGAATTAGAATCTCTAAGGATTTAAATGAGAAAGTTGACTTCATTTAAATAAACTCCATAGTTTGATTTTGAAGCCAGTAAAAGTTGAGGATTATTACATTTATAATTACCTTCTCCACTTTAGTCACGTACCCTATTTACCTTACTTAATTTGAAACAAAGGCTGAGGAATACTTCCAAAATACAGAGCTACCTTCAAATGAAAATGAGTTCTATGCCAACCCATGCTACACACTATTTCCTATGGTAACTCCAGAAATTAATTAAACAGTAGAATGGGCATGCTAATTTAAGAGAATGATGTAGCAGGGAATAACACTGGCTGGCCTGCTTTAGACATTCTTGACTATTCTCCTTTCACAATTTAGAGGACTTTGGCTTTATTTTCCTAGTAACAGGAGAATGAAAAGAAAGAAGAATTCTGTGTTAGCTAGCTAGGTAAACAACCTCTAAGTTTCGTTATCTTATGTTTTGGTTTTCTGTGAATCAGAATATATCTTGAACATATGAATGAATATGTATATAAAAATGAGGCTTATTACTGGCAAAATAAACCATCTTAATAGGCTTAATAGGATTAAAAAAAGGCAAGCAGCTGTAGCTAAGAAAGTGCATACAGAAGATTTGTCTCAAACTATTTGATAATTTTGGAGAAGACTATCAGCATTATTAAACATTTCATTTTGGAGAAATAGTTCCTACCTTTTAAAAGATAAGCAGTCAGAAATTTTGGTATTTTATATTAATTACCTTTATTAAATATGAATGTATTAAAAAGAAAATGGAATGCATCCTCTTTTCAATGTTAAAATTTTGTAGCAATTAATAGTTACAGCATCTATAATTGTATTTTCTTACTTTTCAAATGTATTCATTTTCTGAATGAAAATAAAACCAGTAACTATTTTCATTTAGTCAGCAGTTCATTGATACTGTATCTTACTGGGCAAAAGCTCTCTAAGTGTTGACCTAGTTCTATCATTTTATCATGATAATAATGATGATAAAAATATTAAATACTATTATAAATTTAACCATTGTTACCAATGTTTAGGGCTTTAAAGATAGTGTTATTTCCACTTTTCACCTAAGTAATCTTTAAACTTATGAAAGTCACATTGAAATAATAACTCTTACTGGCAGTTTTTTTTTGTCTCTTTTTTTCATACATAGACAAAATGTATTTCAATACTACTCATCTCCGTCATTCTTTTTCCATCTTTCCCCTTCTCCTTATTCCCTCAAACATTTAAAATCCTGTTATATATGTGTGCATATGTGTGTGTCTGTGTGTGTCTCTCTCTATATATATGTATTTAAGTATGTATATATGTATATGTGTATCATTTAGGACTAAATTCCACAAATGAGTGAAAACATGCTACTTGGCTTATTGAGCCTGGCTTATCTTACTCAATATAATGATTTCTGGTTTTATTCATTTTCCTGAAAGTGAAATTATTTTATTTTTCTTTATGGCTAAATAATATTCCCTGGTATACTACATTTTTCTCTATCCATTCATCTATTTTTGTAGCTTACATTTTTAAATCAAATGTTTCTTTTTTTAAATTGTACTTGGTATATTTATTAGGCAAAAACTGGAATTCATCTCCTTCCCACTAAATTGCTAGGTTCCATTAATATATACTTAATGTTGTAAAAGTTAGTGAGCCACATTATTTTTACTTTGATCGAGAGACTGAACTATATCTTGTTTTGAGTTAAAACATTATTTTTCCCTTGTATCTAATTTATTAGTAATGCTGGTTTCTCTTAGCAAGATAGATATATACTTCAGAGACTGAAATTTTTATTTGTACTGATGATTAATATATCCTAACCATCAGTTCTTCCATTTGTTTCCTCCTTAAACTTTTGATTTGAACCACTGTATCTTCCCAGACTTAGTTTTCAATAATTGTAGTAGAACTTGAAGGTTACAAATGCACCAGCTTTGTGATAAATCCCCCCCACCATTGAATCATTTCTTCTTCCCTCATCTTATATATACCCTTAGTTAAAGCATCCTGGGTTTTTTCGTTTTGTTTTGTTCAAATTTGTCATTTTTAACTTTTGGTTTCAAGGGATTTATTTGGCAACTCTTATTCTTGTTTGGTTTACTCAAGTAGTAAAAAAAGTTTTTTTTAATCACACAGAACCATTTCCCCTTGCTTCATTTACTATGTAGGTTGGAAACTGCTGGTATTCAATGATTGAAGAAACTTCCTTCATGACAGCTGATTGATGAATGTGGGGTTGAGTTTTGGTCCTACTACTAGGTCATCTGCCTGTTCAAAGAGAAGAAAGTAATTTTAATTATGAGAAGCACATTTTCGCTTAAAATGGTTTTTCTCAATGTCTGTTTTCTTGTTTTGAACTGAAATATTTCCTGATTCTCCTCTCCTTTCTGTCTTCCTTTTGCCATTTTTCCTTCTCCCTTTTTTCTATCTCTCCTCTTTTCTACTCTCTGGCGTGCTTGCTCACTCATTTTTTCCCCTTTCTTTTTTTTTTTTGGGGGGGGGAGTATCCTGTTTAGCTAGTATCTAATATCTCTTGTGAGGCTAGTGCTGCGACGGGCATCTACTGTGTGATATCCATTTAATCCATTGGTGTGAAAGCAACAAGGACTTATTTTCTCCCTTTTGTAGGAAATAGCATTCCAACTGTTTTTTGACATCTTTAATTTTAGAGGTTGCCAATGATCAGATCAGGGTCAAGACTGACTTCAAATGTTTTAGTACGGAGCAGAAAGAAAAATGAGATCCTAACTTGCTAGTCTCCTGATCTACACATCCCTGTTGATGAGTTAAAGCTCTATGGGTGTGAAATTTGGTATGGAGACTTAGGCTGCTTGAACCTTTTATCCCATAATAGTCGTGGAATGTGAAGATTTGAATTTTCATGGGGGCACTGATATTTCATGGCTGACAATGGATTTCTTAAGGCCTTGTCATTTCAAATTGCCATGAGGTCTGTTTATTGCTGCTCTAAATGTGTATATGAACCTGCCTCCCAATGAACTTATTGCAATGGTGCTAACTTATCTTGACACTCTTGGTGACAGTCCTAGTCACTCTTAACAATATCAACTTTCTATAGTCACAGCACATATTTTACAAAACATGCAGCCTAAAATTCTGAAATAAATTTTTATAGACAGAAAATATGTTGGCTTTAAAAATTAAGAGGTTTGATTCTGTTTTGGATTTGGTTATCAAATGAATCTGAGCATATGACATTTTAATGCCGTTTGTCTTTTCAAATAGATTTACCTTCTAATGCGTGTGACGACAGGACTTTGCTCATCAGCTAGAACATACATTTCAGAGGAGTTGTTACCTAAAATATTATCATAAGGCATAAGAAAACACACGATTTAAGTTGCCTTTTATGAACATAATTAAGAATTAATAAGCCAGTACCAGTGGCTAGTCTCCAGAATTTCCACTGTTTTGCCTTTTGTGACCTGTGTTATTAAAAGTCCATTATTTTTACAGACTTTATTAAATTGGATCTTATTAAAGCATTCTATATTTGCATTTGGTCTTTCATAATTCATTATTATTATGACATTTACTTTTTACCATCAGATCTGAAAACATATCATAAGCTACCCTTTTCTCTTGAAAGAAATGCTAATTTCAAACAGTCCTCTAATAGAAGAGAAAAGCTTTATCAGTTTTTTCATTTATTCCAGATCGTGTTAAGAATACTAATGCTAGACTTCAATATGCTAATATCTCTAAGCTTTTTTTGGTCAAAAGCTTAGAATTATTATTTTTATCCCATACAAAGTACAAAACTAGAAAACCTACTACTACTATTAGAGAAAACACAAATCTAAAGTACAATTCTTGGTTCTAAAGACTTTTGAAAATGTTGTTGAATTCTGTTTCTTAGAATGATGCTAGTCAATTTACCTTTGTACCATGCTATATTTTTTTTCTCCTAGTTAAGAAATTCTCTCTTTGTTTTTTTCTACCTCATAATTTAGGCAATACAGCTTGCAATATTTAATACTAAGAGCCCTACACTGTCAGTTCCAGACATCAATTAGGGTATAATTCATGTTTTCCTGTGTCATAACCATTTAAAATTTAGATGAAAATTCAGTGTAGCAAGATTTTACATATATAAAGCAAGTTGTCTTAAATTCTTACATAAACAATACTAAGGTTATTGTTGTACTACTAGTAAACTTTCTAGCTTGAAACTTATTTTGGATTTTGTCTTATTTTAGGTTTCTGACAATGTGCAATAGACATTTCGGCAGTGTTGTTGCACAAACCATTCGGACTCAGAAAACAGATCAGTTTCCACTTTTCCTGATAATTATGGGAAAACGATCATCTAATGAAGTGTTAAATGTGATACAAGGTAAAGGACATGTCACAAGTGAAGTAAAATCTTTTTGTATATATGATAACTTCAGTTTTTACAATCAAACCTAACTACTGTTTTCTGTAGAATTTTTTTGCATTTTAAAATATAAAGCATCCTGAAGAACTCTTCAAGTGTTTTATTTATAAGAAATATATATCTTTAAAAAATCCAGTGGAAACATCTTAATAAACTGTACAACCCTCAGGACATAGAATATTCAAAGTAAATTTTCAGAATTGCTAACTTCCTTAATGTAGCAATTATGATCATAATAGTTGTCAAATCTGGCATTTCTGATTTATATTGATGGGTTGCTCTGATGATGATTAGCTGAAAGTAGTGTTAGTTATGTAGAAAATCTACTGGCTGAACGTTGTAAATTGCATTGTTCACAGAGGCAATTGTTTCTCATTGTTTGTGTGATTTATGTCTAGGATGCAACTATGAGGTGTGAAGTTATCTGATGTCTGCAAATTCAACCACAGTTTTTATTCTTCACCAAAATACAATAAATATTTTTTTCTATTAACTAATTGTATCCAGAAATTATGTAAAGTATTATTTTGCTGGTGGAAAAACTTAAGTGAAAACAGTATTATGTTTCTGTATGCTACCAGGATATTTTCCAATTCTTCCAAGCCAATTGGATCTGGTCTCTGCATTTCTGCTCCATTTAAAGCTGATGGGGGATTAGAGATTTATAAATTTCAGTGGCTTTAAAATTTACATGCCCTTTGTACAATTACTTAAAGATAATAAAAAATAAATCCTAAGCAAAACAAAATCTTTGGTATTTTAAGTTTTCTCTATATCCTAGAGCATTTAGCTTCATAAACAGTCTTGATTTGTGTAGGGTAAATGGATAATGATAACATTTCAATCTTGCCTCTCTTGTAAGGTTCAATGTTACAGTAGCTAGTGGTTCTTAAAGTGTGGTCCATGGACTCTTTCTTAGACCTTTTTTGACCTTTTTTTTTTTTTTTTGCCTTTTTACTGCGTTGGCATACATATTAGTAAACCAAAAGCAAGAGTTTATGAAATTGTTTGGACCTTAGCATGAGTCAAGGCCAAGGCCAATGACACAAAATAGTCATTATTAAATGTTAGTGCAAAATGAACAAGCAAATCTGTCATTTTCAAATAAAAGAACAGAGAGTATTTGTATCTAATGATAATTTGTTTCAGTCAGAAATTTATATCCTACACAATTAGCTTGACAGTTTTAATAGTTTGAATGCATTTGTCATGGTAGTGACACATTTTTTGGTACCATATAATGAAATGTATTGACATTTAGAATAATCATAAATTGTAAAAAACAAAACAAAAAATCCAAATGGAATGGAGGATTTGGATTTTGGCTGAAGAAGAAAAGCAGTTACCTGCCAAGTGGGTAGCCCTGAATTCAGTCCCTACTACTACCAAAATATTAAAATTAAAGTTTTATGAATCCAAATACTATATAGCAGATCTATAAACCCATAATACTGAGGTAGTATTATGAGTTCAAGGCCAACCTAACCAATATAGTAGACTGTTTGAAGAAACAAAAAAGGGCAATGGATGGATTTTAATGTAATGAATACAAGTTCATTGATAGTCTCAAATTTCACATGCAGATATCTTGAAGAAACTTCTATTTGTCAGGCTGGCTTTAATATAAAAGAAGAATATTCACAGTTGTCTATTAACATGCTTCTCCCTTTTTGAGCTCCATGTCATTTTGAGGCCATATATTTTTCATCAGTTTCAACGAATACAGCCTATTTTAGCCAATTTAATGTAATAGAAAATATAGTTGTGTTCTATTGAGCCAAATATTTCAGTGAGATGCTAAAATGTTGTAACTATGCTAGACTTCACATTAACCTTTCTTGAAAGAATAGTCTATTTTTCATAAAGATACAGCATTTATACTAGTTTGTAATGAGTTTATTACTGTTTTTAAATATATTGCTAAGTATACTTACATTTATAATATTTCAGTTTTAACTTTTAATGGAATAAATGTCAAAAAGCATAGCAGACATTAACAAAAATCCTTTCAAGAATCTCAGTAGTTCAAGAGTATAAAGGATCTTGAGATTAAATGTTTGAGAATTGCTCCATAGGCTCTTAACTAGTGCCTTTTCTTTTTCTTGGGTAATTAAAGACTTAAGTATAAAGCCTATATGCTCTCTTTGGCCTTCCTTACTTTATAGAACTAAAAGTTCTTATTAAGGTTCTCCCGTATTTGAGTCTTCAAATTTAAATGCAGTTTCTAACCACCAATATATATTACTACTTTATTCTTTCTTATTAAATATATGGAACATTTCAATGAAAGTACTTTAGATAATAACAATGTGGTCTGTAACTTCTTGGACTGCATTTATTCCTTTCTGATTTTAGAATGACTTTCCATTTTTAATAACTTTAAATTTTGAAATTATGTAAGTTTATATAAAAGTTTATCAATATCTATGTGTTATTAGGTAACACATCAGTGGATGAGTTAATGATGAGACTTATGGCAGCAATGGAGATCTTCTCAGCCCAACAACAAGAAGATATAAAGGATGAGGTAAGGGGAAAAGTTAAGCAGATTTTAATAGGATTTTGTCAAATGATGATGCTGACTGTCATGATTGACAAGTGAAAATGATGAAGATGCAATTCTGAATTAATTAAGGTCCTTCATCTCTTTGGGTTTACTTTTGGGGCTGTTCTTTTCATGACCTGAAAACCCAATAATTTGTTTATATTTGTGGACTATTTTCACTTTTCTAGATTTAAAGTGACAATAGCAGCTCAATTTGTAAGAAATGAATTCATATCCATATTTATTTCCAGGCCCAGAAGAAGGTGCTATAAAATCAAGGACTACTTTTAATAGAGACATTGCCAACTTTGGTGGCCTATTAGGGAGGGCATAAGTGAATAGCTTCATTTTTCTTCAGTACTATTCCAGTAATACTTCAGTACTACTCCTCTCTGTACTCCTGTTGACTGACCTAACTCAGTCAAAAGCTGGAAGGCAAAAGAAACTTTCTGGGATTCTTCTGAAGGCTCAGTAGATGTCATCTAGCCCCATTGGTATGATTCTTTTTAGACTAGAAAATCAAGTCAAAGTTAAATAAATTTTCCCAAGGTTATATAGCTAATAGGAACTATAATAATAATCTCAAGTAGTCATAATACCTAGTCAATCAAGAAATTTCTGTATTTGGAAAATAGCTTTATGATAAAAATTTGAAACATACGTTTGCATTTGTTAATTTGAAATGCTTTTTAAAGATTTCCATAGAACAAACAAGAAAAAATGTGATTTCTGAAACATTATAACATAATTTCTGTTATAATGAGTGATTTTGATAGAAAACCCTTTAGTTTTCACTAATGTGGAACATTTAAATAGTCTTAATATAAACTATAAAACTATTATATTTTATTTTATTTATTCATTTATAACTTTGGCTGTTTTTCAAAAGTAAAGGTCAAATCAGACACTGGTAGATTAACATTTGTAATCCTAGCTTCTTGGGAAAATGAGAATAAAAGAATTGAGATTCAAGGTAAAACCTATGGGAGGTTGAGATTGGGAGGATAGCAGTTCTAGGCTAGCCCAGGCAGAAAAATCCATTAGACTCCATCTCAACAGAAGAAGGTGGGCATAATGGCATATATTTGTCATCTAATCTTTATGTAGGAAGCCTAAAATAGGTAGATTGCTGTACAGATGCATACCCATGAAGAAAGTTAGACCTATCACACACGTGCATACATATACATGTACACACACATGCACACACACACACATACACACACGCACACACACACAAATCAAAACAAAAAATCGGGGGGAAAAACAAAGCTATGTTTGCCTAGTACGCACAAAGGCCACAAGTTTAAACTCTAGTCCAGCAATAAAAAGAAAAAATAATATATTATAGTGATATATAATGTATCCACATTAGCAAATATGAAATTTTGTAGTACTGGAGCTAATTTCATTTTTTAGTACTCATTACATTTCTTTTATTGCTATAAAGATGCTGAGTTTGTAATTTTTCTTTATAATCAGTATTTTATCTCTTATGCTATAAATTTAAAGTAACACTTTGAAAAAGAAAATGTACTTAGGAATTTGTAATAATAGGTGTGTTGCCATTCAAGATTACACTTACCCTGAACAAGGACATTGGTAGTAATGCACTGAACAAATTCTTCAGTCATTTAAAACTTGAGTCTCATTAGTATCAGATTTACAGATTATGCTATGTAGTATATAAATGCACCATATTTTCATTCTTAAATCTTACTTTATATTCCTTATAATTCATTTGTAAAGAAGTCAACTTTAATTTCTTTAATATTGAGCTCAAATTTTAATGGGAGTTACAAGAAAAGTCAAAGGCCCCATGTAATTGAAATTTTTATTGAAATTTAACTTTAAGAGATAAGGAATTTTATATGATTTTAGACTGTCTACCTGAAAGTTAACATTCAGGTTATAGAGTCCCTTGAAAAAGGAACTTTATGTAAGTAAAAAAGGACTATATGTAAGTCATAATGAATTGGCATCAGAATATATGACAAAAAACATTGTCCCCTAACATTATGAACTTTTGTCAGAAACAATGGCTCACACCTGTTATCCCAGATCTTCTGGAATGGAAGATTGGAAGGATTATGGTTCAAAACTAGACAGAGCAAAACATTAGAGAGGCCGTAATCCAACCTATAATCTCTCGGTGTGGTGATATGTACCTGTAATCCCAGCTGTGGAGGAGATATGAAATAGGAAAATTGTACTCCAGGCGGGCTTGGGAAAAAGTACAAGTCCCTGTTTGAAAAAACAGCAACAACAAAAACTATAGTTGGGAGTATAACTCAAGTGTTAGCATGTCTCTCCATTAAGTATAAGGCCATGAGCTCAAACCCTACTGTGGGGGGACATTTTTGTGAACTTGTTTAGTTTAATTACAAATAAGACTTAATATTGTTTATAATTAAAATCAAATTCATGAATATGTTTAAAGGATAACTTCCTAGGCTTGAATTTATGTAAATCTAATTTGAGTTGCTTAGTCTGGTGGCGCACATCTGTAATGTTAGCACTTGGGTGGCTGAGGAGGACTTCACATTTGAGGCCAGCCTGGACTTATATAGCAACATCCTGTTTCATGTTGACAATTTAAAATGGATGGGGAAGTAACTCAATGATAGAGTACTTGTCTAGTATGTGTGAGACTTTGATTAAGTTAACAAATCTTTCTTTCGTGATTCAATTATATTAAGATGACTTATAGATACTTGTATATAGGAAAGCCTTTTTATTAAAACCCAGACCTGAACCATATCATCTTTCTTCACTGGCTTAGAAGGGACTAGTCTTTATGTCATTGATTGCTCTATCTCTAACCAGGAAATACATATCTTCTTTTTTCTTTAGAATCTATTTTTGTTTACAACTGTGTTCCTTCCACACAATAGATGGCTCCAAACATATAAATTAATTTATATTTTATTTGCACAGTTTTTTTAGCTGCAGGTAAATTTGAAACATCTGATAATCAAGACTTTGTATGACTGGGCACAGTGGCTTATGCCTATAATCCTTGCTACTCAGAATGCTGAAATTAGGGGGATTTCAGTTCAAAGCCAGCCTAAGCAAAAGAAATTCATGAGACAAAACCCCACCTCAGTCAGTAAAAACTAAATACAGTGGTGTGTGCCTATTACCTCAGCTGTAGAAGTGTAAATAGGCGGATGATCAAGATCCAGGCTAATCCAGGCATAAATTTGAGACTCTCTTAAAAAAAAATAACTAAAGGGCTGGGAAGGTGGCTCAGTGGTAGAGCGCTTGCCTTGCATGCCTGAGGCCCTGGGTTCGATTCCTCAGCACCACATAAGCAAAAAGAAAAAAGCGGGAAGTGGTGCTGTGGCTCAAGTGGTAGAGTGCTAGCCTTGAGCTGAAGAGCTGAGGGACAGCGCCCAGGCCCAGAGTTCAGGCCCCACGACCGGACCCAAAAAAAAAAAAAATAACTAAAGAAAAAAGGGCTGCCAGGCTTGTCTAAGACACTTTATAATGCCTATTTTTTATTGCTGTTGTTGTTGTTGTTTGCTTATTCATTCAGCACTTATTTATTTAGAATCTTTCCTCTGTACTAGATGCCAGACTTACTCTCTTCCAGCCTAACATCTAACTATCTCACTATTGGAGTGATCTTAATTGGCATCATCCAGATGTTAAAGATCAAGACAGATTCCAAGGACAGTTACATTGATCTCTTTTCTCTTGTCTGTTTGGTAATTCTGAGAATATATTGGTCAAATGTGAGTACAATATGTCAAAGCATAATGGCTACCTCTTTATAGTCCCTGCACTTGGGAAACTGAGGCAGGAAAATTAGAATTTCAAGGGTATTATGGGCTACAATTGTGAGACCATGACTAAAAAGTGTGGCTCACACCTGTAATCCTACCTACTCAGGATGCCAAGATCTGAGGATCGAGATTCAAAGCTTGCCCAGGCAGACTTACCTCCCATAAAGCACTCAAAAAAAGCTGGACGTGAGGATGTAACTCAAATGGTAGAGCTCTAGCCTTGAGCAAAAAGCAGCTCAAGGCTATCACCCAAGCCTTAAGTTGAAGTCCCAGGACTGGCCGAAAATAGGAAAACAGCACTGCTATAACATAGGAAGGGTATGCTTGTTACCTCATGACAGCATTTTTGTTGCCAAAGGAAATTTTGGGGTTTGCTATGTGGAGGGTGTTCACTTTCCCCCCCGGAGCTATGTGTTAGTACTACTGTTTTCAACAATATATTACTTTATCTTTCTGCTGTTTAAAATCTTACCATTGTCATACCCTCTTTGCATAGCTAACAATGCAAATAGTATACAAAATTCTGACTTTTTTGCTATTTTCTCTGAAACAGAAATAAATCATCATAACATATAGAGAGAGTTGAAGATGTGGCTTAAATGGTAGCGCATTTACTTAGCTAGCAAGCACAGGCCCTGATTTCAAACAGCAGTACTGTAAAACACCTATACATACAATACAGATATACAGGGAATAAAGGTAACTTTTTATACAAAGTCAAAACTTATCAAACAGGCAGCTTCTCTTTTTTTTAAACTTAGAATTCATTGTTAATACAAGGATTTTCATGTGAAAATTCTGCATGTACATACAGTGTGGAATTGTTTGTTTGTTTGTTTTGGTTGTAATGGGGCTGAACCCAGTTAGCACTCTACTATTTATGCCATATTTCCAGTCCCGCCTCCCCACTTTCTCCTTCCCCGCTTTGGGTTTTTTCTTTAGTTATTTTTCAGATAGAGTCTCATGTTTTTGTTCAGGCCCAGCCTCAGACTATGAACTTGCCTGTGCCTCCTTCATAACTGGATTGCAGACATGTACCACACCCAGGTGCTTTTTTTATTATTATTATTAATTGGTTGATCATGGGGCTTGAACTCTGGGCCTGGGCACTAGCCTTGAGCAAAAGTGCTCGGGGACAGTGCCCAGGCCCCAAGTTAGGCTAGAACCCTACTACTTTGAACCACAGCTCCACTT